AAGTTAGTAGACTTTGTTTTGATACCATAACAGATGTACTATTACCTTTGTTATTTGGTTCAGTGGTTGATCTTCATTGTTATTTTGACTTTCAATATGTCCTTTTAACTTGACCTAAGTGGTCTATTTTCTCACCCCTTAACTCTTTGTTATATATACTCTGAGATTTTGTGAATTCCGGTTTAATAATACCAGTTTGATAAAGCTATAAGCAGCATTAAATAGCGAAACGTCAGTAAAATGAAACAATATCGTTTTGTTTTTCATTCATTGGGAAGTATAAGAAAACCTTTATTATAATGAATATCATATACCCAATGCCCAAATTTTTTCAAACTGTTAAAAGTGAACTTGGTTTGGACATATATAAATCATTTAAATTTGCATTCATAATCATAATTTACTTTACTTTCATCATTTATTGTCATATACTAAATCACTGATCTATAAGTTAGTAGTTTGAATCTCGGTGATGTACATGGTTTTCTTTAAACTTTAGGCATGTACAACTTTTGAAAATCCTCTGTTTGTAGTTTGATCTATTTTTAATTAGGCATACTATTCTTTAGTTTTTTTTGTGATCTGTTAACAACAAACAAACTGTAGTATAAAATACGAAATCACCAAAATTGTATATCTTGATAAAAATTCATATCAGATGGTTGGAGGTAATCGGCAGAAAGCCTTGGACCTAGGTTTCGTGCTATTTGGCGTTCACTAGTCAGTAAGGCGTATCTGTGACCTTGAAGGAATTCATGTCCCTTCTGAGATTCGAACCTAAAGTCTGCACCAAAGAGAGGACTAGACACATCACACTAGTTACTAGTGTCAAATCAAAACTTCATATCATTCATTGAACTATTCATGAAAACGTGTAGGATGTTATTTTTCATTTTAATATTCACTACCATAAATGCAATGCCAATTGTTACCAAATAAGACTGTGTTTTCAAGTTTGTGTATTTGTTTTAAACTCAAATAAGTTTATTTAGTTAAATTCGCTAGTTTATTTTACAAAATGTTTACCAAAGACTTGATATGTTTGTTTACTTGGCTACTTTCTTAGGCTTTTCTCCGAGGCATCATTTATGTGATTAAACTGCCAATCATTTATGAGTAACTATGACAGTTGAAGCAATTTAATCTTTCTTTTAGGTAGAATATTTTATTTATCTCCTATAAATCCTTTGCATTGTAAGCTTGTCATTATTGTGTAGATATGCTTGAGTTAGATAAGTAAAGACAGAAGAATCACCAGCATCGCTATTGTCTTATATGATAGTCGGACAGAATCATTTGTTACGACAGATCACGTGATTGTTCAAATCAGAGTAGTACTGCAGCACTGGATTTTCATAGGCTTATAATAATTCGGAAGATTTTAGCAATCTTAGTTATCTGTTGTATCTTTGTGTCTTTGTAATGAGCCTTTATCACAAACATTCAAAGGTATTCATTATGACGAGATTGTTACTGCACTAAGAAAAATTACTTACTTAAGGTATATTTAATGGTGTGAAATATTCCCATATCATGAATTGAAAGTCAGACTGAATGAAAAATATTCTTTTCAATAATTTCTCTTCAAATTTTTACAATTATGCAATACAGTATTTGTTGTTGTTACGATAATGGACGGTTAGGTGACGGACACATTTTTACGTAGAACAACAGATTAGTTTATGGGGTTGCAAAATAAATGGCACTCATGTGACAAACGTGCTAGGCTGAATTCAATCACAAAATACTGTGAAATGGGAGGCAATGGTGGTGATTAGTCATAATAGATAGTTTTGTGGAATGTTGGGGTAAGAAATATTAACAAGTGAGTTCAAGGTTATAAAAGGTGTCAGGTGAGTGGTTAGTACAAAGTAGTATGTATTAAAGAAGAGATAGTAAGACTGCAAAGTTCCGCTTTAGTCGATCTTATTGCAACAGCTTCAGCTATGTGTAGGAGACGTAAGCGAACTGTACGTGATAACGACTTCGGAATTCGGTTTATAACCCTAAAAGCTGTGTTGACATCGATGTGATGTCTAGTATCGACCAAGTGTGACAGGATCGAGCTTTGATGCACTTAATTTCCCCCCTGCTGAACCAAGCTGGTAAATGTTCTCGAACCCGTAGACAAACCTGCTTAATCGTGCGTCCTATATAACTTGAATCACAGGGACAGTTGAAATGGTATATGCATGAAGAAAAGCTAAGGTTGGGTAAGACATCTTTCAGTTGCTGAGTGAACATTGGATGGCTATTGAAGGATAAGGGTTGAAAGTTTTCTTTATCGTCCTGGTTAAACTTCCAGATAAAATGTCTGCTGGAGCATCTCCCCTGAATTGTAGACGTAAAAATAAAAGACTTTTTCTCCACCGTTACCAATTCATATTCACGACTGTTGTAATGCTGGCTTTACTGAACTTCTCTGTACGTCCGTTCTCGCAGAGAGTATCCTGGATGACCTAGAGTTCTTCCTCTACACAACCTTCGGAGCAAATCGAACTCATCGTAAATGCTAAGCATCTGATCATATTACGTTTGTATTTTATAGGCACGAAAGTGAGGAAGTGTGTATACTGAGCTCTGCTCTCCAGGTTTCTTTGTACTAGCCACTCACCTGACACCTTCTATAACTTTGAACTGACTTGGTAATTTTTCCTACCCCGCATTCCACGAAACTGTCTATTATGACTAATTGTCTCTCATTTCACCTAACTGTCCATTATTGTAACGACAACAAATATTATATTGTATAATTGTAAAAACTTGAATAGAAATTATTGAAAAGAATATTTTTCCTTCAGATTGACTCTAAAAGGTATATTACTTAAATATTTGTAATTGTCTAGCATAGCCATAGGTTTACTGTTTCAAATGTCTTTCAATCCTTGTAATTTAAATAAAACATAAAATATAAGTGAAACATAAAGCATTATTTTTCTAAATCATTCTTTGTACACAAGACAAGCTAGACAAAAAATCACCCTTTTAGAATTTGTTAAAAGCTGAGATATGTATTCATTGTAAATAAAAGCCATTTAGCATTAAAATAAGGAAATAAGTTGACTATTTTTCAGTGATTGTTTTACATGATATCATCCATTGGCTAAATACGTGTTTGATGGCATTTATCATTTATAGTTATGCAATACACCACAGACAAAGAAAATTTATGCTCTTCTTAAATGTCATTTTATAAAATCAAGGGAATTTGTGTATTAGATAAGCTTATTCAATATAACACGCAATGAGTGAGACAGTATAAATAACTGGATGACGTTTTCAGAGAAATGCATTGCACATAATCATACTAGCGAATTCACATGACCTGATAACTTCATTTTCTAGCAGTCTTACTCCCTGCTGTGTTTCTACTGCTATTTTCTATATATGCGGGATAGGTGTTGCATCATTTCGGCTGCACGCGTTTGATATTGATTTGATGAACACCTTTCTTCACCTAACTATATTACCTTTTGAATAATTATACCTTACTTCACCCTATTGTACTAATGCATGCAATGGCCGAGTTTTTCTCCGGATAACTTAATTCATCAAAGTCAGTCATTCTAGCTCTAGGTAAATTCCAATGTTTTGATCATCTAATCGATCCCGACCTACTATTCTGAACTATGTGACTAATGTCAAAGTCATTATATGGTAATTGGTGCATTATTTTATTTTCACCTATTGGTTCTGTTGAGTCCTAAGACGTCGAAGTTTATCTCTGGGTAATTTGGTTGGTTTGAATACGACCCTGTTTTCAGCCATATTAAGAATCCTACGTAGGGCTTTTGATTTTCGTTCCTTATATTGAATTACCATCGAAGCTTCGGATTCCTTATTATTTTCATGCTTTACATCACTGCTGTTGTTTTTCTTAATAGTTATCATTTTTGAATGAAATACACAGATCAGACTAGTAGATCGGGGTCAGTTCGATTATCAAAATATAGGAATTTAGCTAGAAGCTGTAATTTTTTCACATCCTGAGTGTTGTTCACAATGCTCTAAAATTTTACATATAATTCTTAAGACTCAGAAAAATAAATACGGTTAATGACACGTACATCTGTTGTAAATTTGTTTGCTCAATTGAAACATTTTATATGAACTTCTCAGTCACGTACTCATAGGAAGATTTTCAATAATATGAGTTAAGTACATTTTATCACGAATTTTCACAAAAACTCATAACTTAAATATAAATTATACTTTTCAGCATGTGCGTAGGTGGCATAGCGGTTAGGACGCTCGCCGACCATTCAAATGAACTGGGGTTCGATCCCCGGCCAACGCACTCCTTTACCTCGCTAAGCCAGAAATATTGCTGGTAAAGAGGAAAGGTTGGGGATGAGGCTAGCAACCCCATCCTGCCAAATAAACACTGTTAAAGAAACTTCAAGTCACTCGCTTGAAGCCCTATGTTCCACTGGGGAACGTGAAGGAAAAAAAATACGATTCAGCATGATGAATATCACTGGATACAGTTGCGAAATATCTTATTTGTATTTCAGGCACTGCTTTGTATCCATCAGCGAAATAGGATCCAAGTTGTTTGTCAGAGCTGAATCTAGCGCAACTTATACCATACTTTCGAAGTATTGGTTTTGTAGGTATTTTGTTTCATTGGTTGGAGAGTTTTATGATGAGCTGACATCAGTTAGAGAACCACTGAAAGACCTGGGAGTACTGGACAGCCAGCTGTTTTGTCCTATTTTGGAACTCTTCAGCAGTACGCACCCACTGCCACGGTTCGAACCCAGGACCTTCTGGCAAGCTTGTAGACCATTGAGCCACTGGGACCCGATCCAATGGTTCTTGAATTCTCACTTCTGCCTATTCACGACATATCATACTGTTTGACTTATTTAAATCTTAATTTGACTCTAACCATTCATTTATATGCTGTTTTTCTTATGTCAGCGATAATGAAAATTCACTTTTGAATATTAACTTACTGAAAAAACTGTATTTATGTTTTATTTTATGTGAACATGTAGAGGGGATTTGAAGAGTTAGCCAACAAGTTTTCTGGCCTACGTGTTGATGGTGATTTATTACTAAGATTAGATGAATCTATATTGGAGAAAGATTTAGGCGTTAAAAATGGAATTACACGATCTCGGTAAGTTAAAATAAATAACCCGTATTCATCATTATATTATCTCCTTCACATAATTTAGATTACTACGTGAATTGTGTTCATTAAAAATAAATGCAGACTATTCAGCTGTTGATCCAACAGGAATTTGTGCTTGGTTACGTGATGCTACTCGTATCAGTGCGCTGAATGGTACAGCTACACCGAGAAATTCAGCTACATCTGATTATAATTTAAATGACAATAACTTTCAAAACAAGCTTTCCTGTATCAGTACATCGAATACTTCTGCACAATATTCCTATACACATGATTTATCCTGTTTAAATCAATCCTTTGATCTTCTTCAATATGCATATAATTTAATTGCTGCCGGTGTACATCGTCCTTTTCTTCCATATTTGTCAGATAAAATGCTTTTAGAAGATTGTCATATAAAAAATGGGATACATCGTAAACGTATCCTAGATGCAATACAGTGTAAGTAGAAATAATAATACTAATAGTAATCTCTTTGATTTATGTTTGATAATGACATTTTTTGAGAAAACAAATTTTTCATTTCCTAATTAGCATTAATAGAGAAAGTAAATGAACACTGTCATATATTCAGGCTAATCAAAATATTGTAGTGCATAAACTTTGAACGAGTATCATGACCAATTTTTTCATGCCATTGAAAGTTTAGATGTGCTGTATGTAGGGCCATCTGCGGTGCTTCAGCAACTGGCCTATCAAAGTACATTTTTCGGTCTGCTGCACATAAACATGGTGCTGCAATGTTATTTCATCTAACCAGCGTAAACTTTTTATATATCAGTGTTCTTTAAAGAGATGAGTATAAGCAGTTTATCGAAAGAATATCTAGTTCTCATGTGCACGAATTAAAGTCCATACCCTAAATAACTGTTCCACAAAAAAGGGGCCGGAAATGTATTACTTTTACGAGTTGATCACGGATTGATATCAGTTAGAGAACCATTGAAAACCAGGGAGTACTGGACAGCTGCTGTTTCATCCTAGTTTGGGAATCATCGGCAGTACGCACCCACTGGGATTCGAACCCAGGACCTTCCGGTTACAAGGCAAGCTCGTATACCATTCAGCCACTGGAACCCGATTCAATGGCTCGTGAATTCTAACTTCTACCAATTCGTGATTTAGCGCGACCCCAACCATTGTCGTTGGTGGGACATCCATCCACACACGTGACATCTAATTGGACCTCACTGGTCACGACTTCTCACTAGAACTCAGGAAACTCCAACCTGTAGCAAGTCACTAGCGAGCATCAGATTAACTTTCTATAGTTTTGGTTTGTAAGGATTATCAATCCGTGATCAACTCGTAAAACATAACTAATCCTTACAAACCAAAACTATAGAAAATTAATCTGATGCTCGCTAGTGACTTGCTACAGGTTGGAGTTTCCTGAGTTCTAGTGAGAAGTCGGGACCAGTGAGGTCCAATTAGATGTCACGTGTGTGGATGGATGTCCCACCAACGACAATGGTTGGGGTCGCGCTAAATCACGAATTGGTAGAAGTTAGAATTCACGAGCCATTGAATCGGGTTCCAGTGGCTGAATGGTATACGAGCTTGCCTTGTAACCGGAAGGTCCTGGGTTCGAATCCCAGTGGGTGCGTACTGCCGATGATTCCCAAACTAGGATGAAACAGCAGCTGTCCAGTACTCCCTGGTTTTCAATGGTTCTCTAACTGATACCAATCCGTGATCAACTCGTAAAACATAACTAATCCTTACAAACCAAAACTGTATTACTTTTGTTTATTCAATAAAGTATTTTTTAAAAGTTCAGTCGAGATTCTGACGTTTTACCTGATAAACCCTCTATTTTCTCAAGAGTGATGCTGTGACGTAATAAAGTGATCTCCAAGATATGCAGGAGTATTCATAAACATACACATATTCGCATAGGAAAAGTGAACACATTTTGATTACTCACTCATCTAGAAAAGTAGACCTTGTATGAACTGGTTACCGGTTGTTAGATAATTAGATAATTGTCTAGTTCAGAGTGTTTTGATCGATGTTTTTCATTCAACTGTCTAATGTTTTCACTAGTCTGAGTAACAACACTGTAGTATACTTTAGTGTCATTATTAGGAGAGTAGAGAACTCAGATCTATTCGTCCACTGGTATCTTATGAAGTCCAACATGCTGAGTTAATTCAAACAAATTTTCAACTAAATGTACCTATTTCTGTGATAACAACCGTCATTCTTTTACAACGTAAGCCTTCATAAAATGATATCTGGTAAAACATATCAATCAATAATATTTTAGAACTCATAGTAACACACATGAATTTTCTGAATGCGTAGATTGACTGATTTTTTTATTCCTAAGCGTTCCCCTGGGAACATAAGGCTTCAAGCTAGAGCTTTAAAGTTTCGGTAGCAGTGTTTACTCTTACAAGGTGGGGTCGCTAGCCTCATGACCAACCTTCCCTCTTTACAAGTCTTATTACTGGCTTATCGAGGTAAGGGAGTGCGTCGAACACGGAAACACCTGCGTGGTTAGCGAGCATTCTACCACTGTACCACCGACGCAGATTGATCAACTAAGCTCCTCGATACAGTAGCAAACAATGGCTGTTTACATTTCTCAAACTTGTTCACAGTTATTATCATTATTATTTCCTTAGGTTCCCAGCAGAACACACGGCTTCAGCAGTGTGTCTCCATTTCATTCTGTTCTCTTCACATGTGTCCAATCTTTACAATTTCTGAAGGTTTTTAATTACGTTTACTAACCTTTATTTACTTCCTCTTTTTTCACACATATATCAGTCCACTGTAGTTTGATTTTACTTCAAATCGTCAGTTTTCAGTTTGCTATTTTATGATTGTTGCAGGGTGCACTTAATCTACTTTTGTCCAAGATTCTAAGTCAATTTATTCATCTGTCTTATTTATTTGTTTACTAAAAATGACTCCTAGTTTATTAACTACTGCTTGTAATTACACAGTTGTTTTTGCTTCGGTTCACATCTTTTTGTACAGCGGCTACTTGAAGGTGTATCTGAATACTTCCAGCTGAATAATACAGTCATATCACATGGTAAACAGCTATTGTTTTCATTAGTTTGAAGTTTTTTTTGTTGTTATATGTTATTATAAAATGTATTTCTCCTCTTCTAATGATCGTATCTTGAAATGTGTAAGATATTTGTAATTGGGCATTTTTTAAATTTCACCTTTCAGCTTTCATATCAATGCACAATCAGTCACGTCTTACAGATCATGATTCTAAGCTAAGTAACCTTACACATCCAAACAAATATATCGATGTATTCATTTCTTATCGTCGTTCTAATGGTTCTCAATTAGCAAGTCTCTTAAAAGTTCATTTCCAATTGCGTGGTTATCGAGTATTTTTAGATATTGACCGGCTTACTGCTGGTAAATTTCATGAATCACTGCTTAACTCTATTCGATCATCATATAATTTTATTCTTGTTTTAACACCAAGAGCATTAGATCGATGCTTAGATGATACTCATTGTACGGATTGGATACATAAAGTAAGTAGTTATTTTTTGTCTGAAAATTTTACTTAACACAATGTTCTAGTTTTAAGCAATTTTGAATTAAACGCTTTTTACTTCATCCAAAAATAGGCATTACCCTTGTGATAAATAGTTGTGTGCCTCTTCATATCAACCAATAGTTCCTTCTAGCCAGATTGAAAGGATCTAAACACGGGATAGTTGTGTTCGCCCGTTTATGGTTGATCTCATCAGTGGTGTATCCGTTTCAATGCAGCATAGACAGCTAAATCAGTTTGCCATGTATGGTATCAAGCAGATCATATATTAAATACAAATAGGTAGCCAGAATACGGATGGCTTAAACTGATTCAGGTGTCTCACCTGGATCAAAATGGGAACACTGATGATGTGATCGCTTTCAAACGAGAGAAACAACTGTCCTTTGTTGCCAAGATCACTTCAATCTAACTAATAACTCCTGGGTGACTTGACTGGTATCCAACTACTCATCCTAATCAGTCAGTAGTATATAGCGTCATACATTTATGCTTAATTTATTGATTTTCACTTATAGTATCAAGTAGATCACATATTATGATCTGCATAATTTCTGCTTTCAAAGCAAACTGATGATTTTCTACCTCGAACCGTGTGTAATTTGAGAATTACGAATTTAAATAATTTTGAAAGGTCATAAATCTAACTTCAGGTATAATGTAAAGATTTTGTTTCCGTTATATACAAACACTAGCTACAAACTTATGAAAAGCTTGTACATAAAACAGAAATACTATCAAAGTGTCAAAGTTTTCAAAAACTCAGTTAAACGATATATTATTTCGGCAAAGTAATAAATATGCTGCTTTTCAATCATGTGAACTTGGCGCTTGCATAAGTAATGATAGGTAATGTAAAGAAAATAAGATTGAATTAATTAGAGGGTGAATCTTAGTTAAAGTCAAGAGATCAAAGGTATAAATAAATGTAGATTTCATGATCACAGTCCTACTAACAACACCAAGTTTAATACAATACAAAAAGCAAACGTTTTTCAATGTTTAAAAATACCTTTCATTTCTCTAATGAATTGAAAAACTTACAAATCTAAAAAAAAGTATGTAATGAACAGGTTTTTTAATAAATCACAGAATACAATTAGAACAATATTTGTGCAACCAAATAAATTCACTTTATTTTATAAGGCTATTTGAATAAATAAGTAAATAAATGTAAGTTGAGCAAGAAAACGAACAATCGATATGAAGAGACGAAACAGACATAATTTTACATGTAGGCTTTTAGAATACTAATTGATGTTTAAAAAACATAATTTTGCAAAACATTCTTATTTATTTATTTATTTAAACTAAATAGGAATTCGCTAAATGTTTATAATTCTGAACAAGTAAAACATAAATTGATTAAAAGGTACCTGTCATTGTTATAATACGATTTCTTATTTCTAAGTCTATGAAGAGAACGTGATTGGCTAAGGCAAAGGTAACTTTCATCAACACAAAGTGAGCATTTAGAAAACCAGAAACATTACTTTAAAGTTGTTTTGCTTAGTGTCGACTATCAGCGTGGAATCCAAAATGCATATCTCTTCCTATTTTGGACTCGTTAGTTGGATATGCCTTCATTTTCAGGGAGTGATGGTGATCCCACCGAGACTCGTTGGCCCCTGTAGCCTAGTGGGTTATTGTATACACTTACTTTTGCCTAATTTTCCTGAAACCTTAAAATAACTATGTAAAGGAATGACCACGCACTGGCTTAAGCCCGTTGTTTGGATTGCTCGATTCCTATTGGCTGTTAATAATTGTAATGCATCACTGAATTCCTTCATTTTCAAGATCATTCTAACTGTATGCTGACTGCTGTTTGAGACAGTAAAAGCTCTCTTATCGACGTCCAGTCTTTGCTTTTGTCTTTGCGTGCCGGTGGTGTTATTGTTATTGTTTTTGACGTGCGATTAGAAGAGATTAGCCAACGCATTAAGTTATTATTCTCTCATAGTCTACTAGGTTGTAGTTCCGGTCATAATATGGATAATGTAACTCCAAATTAGATAAGATTATTTCAAAAATCATTAAGTGGAGCAGGATTAATATAACTGTATTAATATCACTTATTAATGCTCCATTGCTATGTGATATTTGAAATAAATTACATTCTGCCACAGTGCTCAAGTTCCACACTTACAATACTGGATAGTGTTTCGGCGTTTGAAAAGATGGGTACAGAATTTGGGGGTAAAGATCAGCAATAGTGGCCCGAGGGATGCGAACGCACAAGTGTTCTTGAGCCTACCAATCACAAAAGTGAGGCACTTGTGCACAAAAAATGACCAGTATTTACAAGAAAATGCATGGAAACATTAATCAGGGTATCTAAAATACTTCCCAGTTATAGTGAGGAGTATCAGTTGCTAAGTTAGACTAATTTCTGTACATGTATTCACCGAGTTGACTGAAGATGAGCTGTTTTTGAGGATCATTTATCTCTCTTATCCTGTTGTGCAGTCTTCCCCAAAAGCACCCGCTTTAATTACTACGGTTTCCAGTAAGAGGATCGACAACTACTTACCAGGAAAATGTGGATAATAAAACAAATTAAAGTAAATGACATCAACTCTGGATCTATCCCTAATCCTAACCCTAATCGTAATTATGACTGTGATGCCAACTCTAACCCCATTACTTACCTTATCCATAATCCTAACCCAAACGAGCTATTAACTCATTGTCCAAGAAGCAATTAAGAACATGATATGGGTGAAATTTGCTGCTTAGTTGGTGAATAGCACTGATATTTCAGCTATGATGACGACAGGCGCCAACGACTAGTATACGTTCAAAGTCATTGGGGCGTTTCCACTCCTAGGACGCTATTGTTGAACTTCGCCCATTTGGATTCCGGGAGGAACATCACGACTCACTGAAGATGCAGGTACCTCCAGATTACGAGTCCCAAATAGGATAAAATGCTTGTTCTGGATTCCACTACCAATCAGCAACCAAAAAAACTTTACCATAATCCTTGGGAGCATCCGTAATAAGAGCCGACATATCAACAGTGACAGAGCATTTCAGTCCAACATAATCATAATTAGTCAACAGGAATCAACGGAATCAGAGAAGAAAACCACCTTGCTTTCAAAGTTTCAAAAACTAACACGCATTCGTGTTTTGTTTGCCATTGTCTACTGCTTATTGAATAATACTCAAAATTTCCTTTTTCTTCTCATACTTTTGCTTTAATGGCTATTCGATTACTGCAAATTACCATCACTTTTCCAAAGATATCGCATGGTATAAAACTTACATCTACTTGTTAGTAGCGCACCACAAAGTTAGTGAATTTATTAATAAGAACGTAAATAAACAATGATAACGTTTTAAAGGAAAACAAAATATGTAAAGTGAACAGTATGAACCGCTGTTTTGCAGTCGCTAAACCGTGAAGGCGGAAACTGAATTTTGCTTAGGCCTATTAAGTCGACTGAAGTTGTATATTGACCGTAACTTCAGAACATAAGGCCTACTGTTTATTTTCTTCAAAAACTCTTGATCTTTTTAGTTTACATCTTAAGTTTATTATGTAATGGCATATTGGACAAAAACTAATGGATCTAAACTCAAGACTCAAATTCGTCAAGAAACAATCCCAAACTTTTGTTCTTTTACTGGGACATCAATCCGTGTATGTATATATAAAATGGCAGACCACAGACATCACATCACTAATTTCGAATTGTGCTTGTAAGTAAACAGTGCTGAATTATGTAGTGTGTGCAGTTTAGAAGAATCAACATTAGCGAACAACTCCAACTTCAGAACAGACTTTATACTTTGTCATGTGTTGTTTTCACCTATTAGCTATTTTTGTTGATTAAATGGAAGCTGAATTCTCTAGTACTATACATTCTATTTTGTTCTTCACTATAAACACTGAAACCCCAAAGAACAGAGGAAAACCATAAACTGAAGAAGACTAACTACCCTCATTCTTGGACCTTCATAGTAGACTTGATAATATAACCACTAATAATTATGATGAGTGAGTGATGAGAAATGCAGGTACATCCAGATGTCGAGTCCCAAATAGGACGAAATGCGCATTCTGGACTCCACTGCTAGCCACCATCCACCAATTGTATACTAACTAATAATTATGGTTAATTATTATTGTTATTATTGCTCCCTTGGGTTCCTAGTGGAACATAGGGCTTCAACTGCACCTATCCACTTGCTTCTGTCTTCTGCTGTACTTTTCGTCTGCATCCATGTTAGTCCATACTCTTTCAACTCCTCTTCACACGATCTCCTCCATGTCAACCTTGTACTGACGACCCACTCGCCGCTTCCCTTTCGGGTTCTACTCGAGTAATTACCTGACGCACGATGTCACCCAGCGGCCTCCTCAGCCACGAGTGTCCAATCCATCTCCACTTTCTCCTGCATATTTGTTGGCTGGCGATTGGTTCTTGTTTTGTTTGTTTGTTCCCACCATAGTTTCTTGTTGGTGATTCTTTCCGGCCCGGCCATCTGATCTTCAGTATAGAGCCAGCGAAGACAGTTGTTGGTGAAGGTCTGGTCTGCAACAGGCTGTTGGAAATATTCTTTGTGACCCGCCCGCCAAGTTTCTGATCCGTATAGAAGAACTGACTGACTTGACGTTTGTATTGAAAATCCGACCAATTTTGTTGTTGATGCTGGCTGAGTGACGAAGATTTCCAGATTGGTTTCAGGTTGATGAATGTGTTTCTCGCCTTCCCGATTCTCGCTCGATTTGACATCCTCGTCCGTTCCGACTTCTGTAGTTGAGACAATGCTCCCTAGATGAGTGAATGAAGTAACCTCTTTCAAATCCCTCCCGTTGATGATGACTGGTGATGGATGTTGTTGTTGGTTGGTTATTTTCATAACCTCCGTCTTGTCTATGTTTACCTGGAGTCCTGTCTTCGCCGGCTGCTTCTTCGACCAGTTTGTCGGTTTTCGCTTGTAAGTCTTCGATTTTGTGTGACATCAAACATAAATCATCCACGCGCGAAATCCAGGTCTTCTAGGTTCTTCACGTCGGTCCAGGATATCCCTGTCTTCTCGTTTCCCACTGTCTGACGCATAATCCAGTCCACCACAATTAGGAATATCATTGGTGATAATAAGCACCCTTGTCTGACTCCTGTGTTTACTCCAAACGCCTCGCTGAGTTTTCCGTTGTGGATCACTTGACATGTGCCGTTGTCGTACAGCTGTTGAATAAGGTTGATGAATATTTGGGGTACGCCATAGTACTCGAGTAATTTCCAAATTACTTCACGATCAACGCTGTCGAAGGCCTTCTCAAAGTCTATAAAGTTGAGGTAGAGGTTTGATTGCCATTCCATGCTTTGTTCGATGATGATGCGTAGAGTTGCAATTTGGTCAGTACATGATTTGCCTTTCCTGAATCCAGCTTGTTCTGGTCGGAGTTCTGTCTCCAGTGCGTCCTTTAATCTCTCCAGGATGATGCGACTCAGGATTTTACTTGGCGTCGATAGGAGCATGATTCCTCGCCAGTTCTTGCAGAGTCCTAAGTCGCCCTTCTTTGGTAGTTTCACGAGGTAACCTTTCCTCCAGTCAGTAGGCACCTTTCCCTCCTTCCAGACCTTTTGCAATAATGGAGTCAGCATGTCTGCTGTCGTCTCTGGGTCCGCTTTCAGTGCTTCAGGGGGTATTCCATCTGGTCCGGCTGCTTTTCCAGCTTTCAGAAGCTTGATTGCGTTCAAGACTTCAGCTCTCGTTGGAGGATTGGTGTCAACTTGCAGTTGTGTGCGCGCTGTTGTTGGTATTTCTGGACGGGTTGCAGGTGATGGTCGGTTCAAGAGTCCTTTGAAGTGATCCGCCCATTGTTTAATCTGTTTTTCTTCCTTGGTAATTGGGTTCCCTTGGCTGTCTTTTATAGGTTTCGCTTGTGTTGGTCTCTTCCCGGATAGAGATTTGGTTATCTGATATAGTGTCCTCAGGTCCCTTTTGCCTGCTGCCTTTTCAGCTTCAGTAGCTAGATTGTCGTAGAATCGTCTTTTGTCCTTCCTAGCACTCTTCTTCACTTCTTTGTCCAATGCTTTGTAAGTTGAGCTCATCGTCTCCTTCTCCTGTCCGTCCTTGCATTGAATCATTTTCTCTTTCACCATTCTCCTCTCTTCTATTAATTTCCAAGTGTCCGTTGAGAGCCATTCCTTGTCTTGTCTCTTCTTTCTTCCTAGAACCGTTGAACACGTTTCGTTGAGAATCGCCTTCAGAGACTTCCAATGTTCTTCCACGCATGATTCTTCAGTGATGTCGCGTAGTGTTTCCTGCTTTGCTCTGACAGTTGCAGTGAAGGTGTCTTTTGTGGTTGTGTCCTTCAGTAATTGAGTGTTGAACTTGCATTGTGGCCTATCCCCAGCTATCCTCGAGGCTTTTAGTTTCACCTTGAAAGTCCCTTGTACTAGATAGTGGTCTGAACCCACATCTGCTCCTCTCCTTGACCTTGTGTCCAGTAGGCTCCGTCTCCACTTTCTTGAAATTGAGATGAAGTCTATTTGGTTTTTGGTGTTTCCATCTGGTGAAATCCATGTCGTCTTGTGTATATCCTTGTGTTTGAACACACTACCACCAATCACCAAATCATTGAAGGCGCAGAAGTCTGAGAAGAGTTCACCATTGTCGTTCATTTCGCCGAGGGCCTCACGACCCATGGTGAGTTCTCTTCCTGTGTTGTCTCCTCCCAGCTTCGCATTCATGTCGCCCATCAGGATTTTGATATCGCCATTTGGGACGTTGTCCATTATTGCTTGTAGTTGTCTGTAGAACGCCTCCTTCTTCTCTTGTTCTGAGACGTTTGTAGGCGCATAGCATTGAATGACTGTAACTTTCCTTCCTTTTGAGTTGAACCTGGCTGTCATTATCCTGGAGGAGATTGGTTCCCACTGCATGAGAGCTTTGGTTGCTGTTGGTGACATCATGATGGCCACTCCCTCGGTGTGCTCATGGTTGTCCTCTGGGTGGCCGGAAAAGATTACTGTCTCTCCAGTAGGTAGTTGGCACCTTCCAGTTCCGTTCCATCTGCTTTCGCAGATTCCCAACACTTCTATTCTGTACCTTCTCATTTCAGCGGCTATCTGGGCAGCCTTTCCAGTTTCGTACATTGTACGAACATTCCAGGTACCCATCCTTACTTTTGCTTTCATCGAAAGAAGGCACATCGGCTGACTGGCTTCCCGAAGGCTTTCACCAGCCTGCGTCATTTCACTTCCCCGATTCCAGCGAAAAGTAAGGCTATTGCTTATGTTTTTAGAATTTTTAATATATTTATTCGTTGAAGTTTCTGTAGCGATTTGGTTGTTTTACAGGGGTGGAGTTGCTAGCACCACGCCCCAACCCTCCCTCTTTACCCGGGCTTGGGACCGGCTAGAAAACTAGTAAGCTAGTAGCCTAGCAAGCTAGTATCTGGCAAGCATAGAAACCATTGCTGTCAACAGAGAGATAGAGGCTTATTTTATAACAATGTAAATATGAGTAACCAGTTGTTATTATATTAACTATAAATTTATTGGAGTGTTAAACCCTTATTTTATGCGTATTTTCTATTAATACAGGAAGTTGTTTGTGCATTGAAAAGTGAATGTAATATCATACCAATTACGGATAATTTTATTTGGCCTTCTGCTGAAACCTTGCCTGAAGACTTACGACCTATAACAACTTACAATGCTGTCAAGTAAGTTTCATATCAACAATCAAGCATGACTAGATGAAACCTAAAAAAAGAATATTCCTCGGAGAGAAATAATTTTTAATTAATAAGTAGCATTTTCAGTTGTTTTTCGAAAAAAATCAGCTTTGTTTTCCTCATTTAGCACGAATGTTCATTAAATTCCATCCCTGATTAGCTCTGAAAATTCTATTTCTTTTGCATCATAAGTTTGAATGTGATTCAAAATGTGTTTCACTTCAGCCCTTTATTCAGTGAAAAATCTGTCTCCACTTTGCATGATTTATCTTTACAATTCATATCGATTTTATTATTCTTAACAAGTTTATTTCGTCTATATTTATTTCCCTTCCATTTTACCTCAGTCTCCTTTAACTAGCCTTTTCATTTTATCAGTCACAACAGAAACAAAATGCTCTTTATCATTTTTCCATGTTTACAGAAACATATATATATATATACCTTCACGTTCCCAGTGGAACATAAGGCTTCAAGCTAGGGGCTTGAAGTTTCTGTAGCAGTGTTTATTTTTTACAGGATGAGTCTGCTAGCCTCATATCCAACCTATCCTCTTTACCGACTTTTTATTACTGGTTAGACGAGGTAAAGGAGTGCGTCGGTTGGGGATCGGATCCCGGACCATGTGTATGGTCGGCGAGTGTCCCGACCACTATGCCACCGATGCACTTTGATAGAAACATATACTGAAATAATGCTCAGTAGTAATGTTACTTAAATGTGCTTATGTAAACTTTCCACTTGCAATACCTAATCAAGTCGTATATTTACTAATTGTGAACTATGTTTAATTTATTACTAGATCAGTTAAAATTAGCTGTAGTGGAGAATAGCACTTATAGCATGGCTTATGAATCTGTTTCGAGTGCTCAAAAGTGAATACTAAGCAAGATAGATGTTGGTATAATATATTTTGATGTAGTTATCTGTCACCATACCGTGATTAGGTTAGCTGGATAGTCTGGACGAAAGTTTCGTGTTTATTATCCTTCGTATATAATGTCCGCCTACAACCTAGACTAAATTCACTTCCTGTCTGAGAATTGAAACTGAACTTGTCAAATCTGAAAACAAAGACGTTACTGTCATGTAAGGATTTTGTGGATTTCTTTTCTGAAATAGAGTCTACTGAACTGTTCTCCTGCTGCTTTCACCTTTCTTGTTGTAACCGAATATATTTCAAAAAAATTATTCCTTTGTTTTAAAATACGATGATGTGTAAATCGTGTTTCTTTCTGTGATAGTCGTTTAAGTTTATTCATTAATCTTCTAACAGGAAGACTATACATGATTTAACGCCAAATACAACATGAGTAGCTCTCTACAGAATAAGGTTGTGTGTCTGATGATTAGCGTTAAATTAGGATTAAGTAAGGAGGGATTTTAAGGTATTCAAAGTAAAATATGACACCATGAATTTAACTACTTTAGGGAGTGTCTGCCTGGGGTCTTCGGAGTACTGGGGATCTTCGTCACATTCTTAGTGAAGTTAAACAATAGAGCTCCAGGGGTGCGAACGCTTTAATGCCCGTGAACGCGTGCTAGTCGTTGGCCGAAGACACCTGTCATTATTCTAAGGTAAAATTAAATTCTATTGATGTACTGCGGAGCGAATTTCACCCGGATCATGTTTTTAAATACTGTCTACATAATGGATCAATAGGAGGCAGTTGTAATGCTTCAGTGAACCTGCAATCGTATTCACAAATTATTAAAAGATATATATTTAGATGTACGGACTGTAGGGAACTAAGGAGTGTTCGTTCTGGTAAGTGGCACATTCAATTCATTGTTTTCTAGGAACTTTCTTTGCAAAATCGAAACTTCCTTTAGCGAATATACTGCTTCCTTGCCATTGATATTGAAGTCCGGGGCAAGGTCAACAGCATCTCAGAACGAAAATAGCTTGATGTCAGATGTGCAGTGGTTTCAGTTTTATTGAGATTTAGCCTCCTAGAAATTGAATAATATTATTCAAGTGTTGGAAGGAATTGGTGTAATCTTTCACATCGGCGAAGCAATACTCATGAAGAAGAAATACAGTCATGGTTGCGCTAGAGCTAACAATATTTGGGTACTGGGAATTTATGACACCTAAATTCAGAACAGGATAACAGAAGTTATTCCAGACCTGAGTGCCGACACTCTTCTGCCTATTATTCAAAGGCTCGTTATCCCTGACATCACTATCCACATCGATGGATACATCCGCTTATCGGATTTAGGATATATACATAATCGAGTTAACCATTCAGAGGATTTCATCGACCCCACAACTGGCACTCATCCTAATTCAATAGATGGCTTCTGGGGAGAAAATAGTTACATCGATGAATAATATGTATAGAGATTGGTTTAGTTCAAAAACGAACACTCCCTATTATAAGTGGGACGTATTTTTAAGCCATTTCAGAGGAAAATAGCCCGTTTTCTTGTAAATATGCATTTCTGTGACTGGTTGGCTCAAGGCCACTTGTGTGTTCGCATACCTTGGGATGCTATTGTTTAAACTTTGCCACATTCTTCTTTACCAGTTATAGAGTTAAGGTAACGTTCCGATGAAAAGTAACCTACTAGTGATTGTACACACATGTTCAATGTTCTAGTAAAATTAATTCTTGATTTATAATAGTTGGCGTATAATTCATTTTTCATCCAGGGCCTAGATTTCTGGGGATTAATTAATGTTCCACTTATGGTGTGAACAGACTTTTCATCTTTGTAACTAAGTTGTTTCGAAGGTCGTACATTATAAACATATTTCACTGAATTATTCGTAACATTCAGAAAGTTGACATTAGGGTTTAGCAACTTCATTCGCTTAGAGTTTAGCAAAATGCATAGAAGTAAGCTGACTAAATACAAATCCTATAAACAGTTGACAACTTGTTATTTTTTTTCCTCCACAGGAGGCTAATGTTTATAATATGTCTGATTTATAAGCTTCACTTTTCCTGATCACATTATTTTTCCACAAATTTAGTAATATTCAGTTAAAATTAATAATTTTATTGAGGTTTTAAGCTAACTAGGACTACCCTTGCTGTTTTTGTGAATACACTGTATTTAGTTTTAAAGAATAAAATAGTAAATAAAACAAGCCGTGTGATGATGCAGAATAATTTATGCATAGAATTATATCATATTTTGTCGCATAGAATTAATCATAGAGATGAAATAAGAAGTGAAAACTGAGACACTGAGAGAGAGAGAGAGAGAGAGACAGATAGAGTGTAGCGTAGAGTCTTATTAACTGCTTATTGTTTGTCTATTGCTCAAAGGAAATCTCTTTTCAACTGAACTATCAATAATTTACTTATCCAGCATTTCATGAATGCATTATTTCATTCAATAATTTATATGTTTTCTTTTCAATATACCAATACTGCCTGTTTGTAATGAACTTTGAAAGAAAAATCCCCTAAAATTTAACTTTATGTATGTAGACTTACAGATTTATATGTGCGTCAAAAATTGACTTTTAAGGCAAAATATATTTTCGGCTTTTCCCAGCTTGGTAAAAAAATTATTTTTTCTGTCTAGACTGTTTATTCTTTATGTGTGGAACATCTGGTATGTCGATATAATTCTTTTTTAAAAACATGGTCTGATTAATTTGTCATGCACTTTTCCTTCCTGTTTCTTTTTGTCTTCTATATTCAAAATATTATTTGAAGTATATATATATATATATATATATATACTCAAGTTTTGGTTTGTAGAGATTTGATTGATTGGATTACAGAATTTCATCATGAGGTGACGTCAGTTAGAGAATCACTGGAAAACCTGGGAGTATTGGTCCTATTCACTTAGCTAGTTGCCTGGGATTCTAGTGAGAAATCGTGACCAGTAGGGTACAGCAGGTCAGGCGTAAGGACAAAGACTCGCCAAAGACATTGACTAGCGGTTACGCTATATCATGAATTGACAGAAGTTAGAATTCATGGGCTTTCCATTGGATTGAGTCCCAGTGGCTTAACGGTCTACAAGCTCACTCTAAACCGGAAGGTCCTGGTTTCCAGCCGTGGTGGTGGGCGCGTACTGTTTAAGACTCCCAAACTTGACTGATGAAACAGCTGTCCAGTACTCCTTGCAGGTTTTCCAATGATTCTCTAACTGATCTCAACTCATGATGAAATCCCTTATATATATATATATATATATATATATACCCCGTTTTAGGTGAATGGTTTTTATACAAATATAAGTCATTATTAGCCTTCCTTTGTACTGATTATTCACTAGTCACTAATTCAAATAGACTTGCCTCTTCAAGTGTTGGTTTGTAGGGATTTGATTGGTTTCAGGATTTCATGAGCTGACATTAGTTAGAGAACCATTAGAAAACCTGGGAGTACTGGATAGCTGTTTCGTCCTAGTTTGAGACTCTTCAGCAGTATGCACCCACCGCCACGGTTCGAACCCAGGACCTTCCGGTTACAAGGCGAGCTTGTATACCATTAAGCCACTGGGACCCGACCCAATGGACATCCCATGAATTCTAGCTTCTGCCAATTCACGATATAGCGCGACCACTAGCCAATGTCTTCAGCGAGTATTTGTCCTCACACCCGACCAGCTGCACCCTACTGGTCACGACTTCCCACTGAAACCCAGGTAACTACCTACCTGAATAAGGCCAGTCGCCAATGAGCATCTCATTGGTATTCAAGTGTTGGTTTTATCCTGGTGATTTTATTTTCCTAAATGCATTGAAATCCTTGCTTTATTCTTCTGTTGAAAATTGAAATCATGAGTCCTATCTTATTTTGATTAATTAAATTGTTTAATCACCAGTTAAGTAGGTATGACTTGATTTATACAGGATTTGGTCCAAAGATTTGTCATTTACATGCATAATTTGTTAGAGTGATCAAAAAGTTTACACTGTAGTAGACTGTTTTACTATGAAGAATAGAATAAATCAATACTAATATCATTTAAGATATAACAGTTCATTTTTTTAAAAAATATGAGAAGACTAC